GGGGGGGGCGTCACCAGAAGAGTCATCTCTTTAGGGGATCCCCCCCGCAGTTTTCCCCCGCAGTCACTAGAGAAGCGTGCAAACAAACGCCGTTCTCCGCGCCTCCGACAAATTCCGCCTTCCCTACGGCAGGAAAGTCTTAGCCAGGCAGAGTTTAGTTTGGGCGTCATCCATCTGCTGCCGCGCTGACCGCTGGGCGCTGAGCAACACTGAATCACTTATGTTTGGCGCAACTACGCTATGGAGACGCTGCCAAAACTTCGCACCCACGCTGCATGACGCTGCGCCGCGGGGAGAACGGAGTCAGAGGTAAAATAATGTAAACCAAGGGATGACACTTGCGGGACGTCTGCCATTTTTTCACCATAGAAAGCGGCCGGCGGCCTGCATGACGCAATGCGGGGATGCGATACCGCCCGGCCTGGACTCCAGAGAACCGGGCGCGACTATTTCACCGTCCACCGGACCCTCATTAAGGCAGAATACACTTTGTTACACGCGCAGCAGCCGCTTACCGAACTTTTCAAATGAGTCAAAAAATGAACAAATGACAAAAGAGAAACGTCGTTCAGAATTCCACAAATTGTGAAATTTACGGACGCGTCCCGTAAATGAGACTTTGTGGTCGTTGTTGGTTTTATTTCCAGCTTACAGTGACGCGCCTAAAAGTCTCTAACCCAAGTACCGCCCCTTGGAATGCAAGCACCAATCCCTGAGGACGTCTGCAGATCTCCACCTCGCAACCGTACCATATATAGAGAGTGGGGAGGAGCTTCAAGTAAAGGGGTGGTAGGGCATAAGGAAACTCTACCCCTTTAATTGAAGCTCCTCCCACTCTCTCTATATGGTATGGTAGGGCTGAGCGGTGACACGACCAGCAATGGTGAGATGATCTGGTAGAGGTGGTCACCGCAACAGAAGAGTCATCCATTCACACGTCACCGGATCTCCCAAATATCGAGTCTGATCCACAGAGACTCTGATCGGGAATCTGGACAATCGACATCTATGAATTGTAGGCCTCGCCGCAGAATGAATGATGGGACCACAATGAGGTCTGAGCAGAAATGGCCGCTTTTCTTTCAGTAAAATTTTTGCGAAATTGGTTGACATATTGGGAAACGTGGCCAATTCTGTGAAACATATTGAAGTCAATGAGAAGTGGAATGAAGGCTGCAATGGGCTCTGGAGGCTCTTTTATGTGTTTTTGTTTTTTTTGTTCATTTTATTTGTTTTCACAAAATCTAATTAAAAAATCCACAAAAACATGAAAAAACACATTCCCCTGGTGTACGCTTTACTTTTATAACTTTCCACGTTTTGCCTTTTTTTCTCTTAAAAACCAAAAAGGAAAAAAAAATGAGATATGAGCGCTTGTGATACCCCCATCCAGGGATCAGACCACCGATATGAGAGCTTGTGATACCCCCATCTAAGGATCAGACCACCAATATCAGAGCTTGTGATACCCCCATCCAGGGATCAGACCACCGATATGAGAGCTTGTGATACCCCATCCAGGGATCAGACCACCGATATGAGAGCTTGTGATACCCCAATCCAGGGATCAGACCACCGATATGAGAGCTTGTGATACCCCATCCAGGGAGCAGACCACCGATATGAGAGCTTGTGATACCCCAATCCAGGGAGCAGACCACCGATATGAGAGCTTGTTATACCCCCCATCCAGGGATCAGACCACCGATATGAGAGCTTGTGATACCCCCATCCAGGGATCAGACCACCGATATGAGAGCTTGTGATACCCCCATCCAGGGATCAGACCACCGATATGAGAGCTTGTGATACCCCATCCAGGGATCAGACCACCGATATGAGAGCTTGTGATACCCCCATCCAGGGATCAGGCCACCGATATGAGAGCTTGTGATACCCCCATCCAGGGATCAGACCACCGATATGAGAGCTTGTGATACCCCCATCCAGGGATCAGGCCACCGATATGAGAGCTTGTGATACCCCCATCCAGGGATCAGGCCACCGATATGAGAGCTTGTGATACCCCCATCCAGGGATCAGGCCACCGATATGAGAGCTTGTGATACCCCCATCCAGGGATCAGACCACCGATATGAGAGCTTGTGATACCCCCATCCAGGGATCAGACCACCGATATGAGAGCTTGTGATACCCCCATCCAGGGATCAGACCACCGATATGAGAGCTTGTGATACCCCCATCCAGGGATCAGACCACCGATATGAGAGCTTGTGATACCCCCATCCAGGGATCAGACCACCGATATGAGAGCTTGTGATACCCCCATCCAGGGATCAGACCACCGATATGAGAGCTTGTGATACCCCCATCCAGGGATCAGACCACCGATATGAGAGCTTGTGATACCCCCATCCAGGGATCAGGCCACCGATATGAGAGCTTGTGATACCCCATCCAGGGATCAGACCACAGATATGAGAGCTTGTGATACCCCCATCCAGGAAGCAGACCACCGATATGAGAGCTTGTGATACCCCCATCCAGGGATCAGACCCCCGATATGAGAGCTTGTGATACCCCATCCAGGGATCAGACCACCGATATGAGAGCTTGTGATACCCCCATCCAGGGATCAGACCACCGATATGAGAGCTTGTGATACCCCCATCCAGGGATCAGGCCACCGATATGAGAGCTTGTGGGGAATGTGTCTTCATGCCGATGGGTTGTCACGCTGGATGCTCCCCGGGGATGATCTTGTACTGCGCAGTATTTGGATCCCGTTACGCAGGAAGACTTTA